AAAAAAAAAAAAAAAAAAAAAAGAATGACGGTCTCTAACTGCATCCATGTTAATGCAGAATCCATGACTTTGTTGTTCTTTATGGCTTTATAATATTCCATAGTGTATAGGTACCACATTTTCTTTCTCTGGTTCACTTTTAGTAGGCATCTGGGTTGGTCTCATGCTTTTGCTATTGTGACTAGGGCTGCAGTGAACATACGTGTGCAGGTGTTTTTTTGGTAGAGCGATTTATGTTCCTCAGTATATTCCCAGGAGAGGGGTTGCTGGATCATATGGTAACTCAATTAGTTCTTTGAAAAAACACCACACTGCTTTCCATAGAGGTTGAAGTAGTTTACATTCCCACCAACAATATAGAAACATTCCCTCTCTGCAGCCTTGCCGATGTACTTGATTTGTTTTTGTTTTTGTTTTTAACTTTCTAATAACAGCCATTCTGACTGATATGAGGTGGTATCTCATTATAGTTTTGATTTGCATTTCTCTGATGATTAGTGAGCTTGAGAATTTTTTCATGTTTGTTGGCTGCTTGAATGTCTTCCTTTGAGATGTGTCAATTCATGTCCTTTGCCCCCTTTTTAATTTTTTTTTTCCTGTCAATTTATTTGTGTTCCTCGTAGATCCTGGATGTTAGTGTGGCCTTTATTTTTAAGCAAGTTTCCAGTTGAAACCAAACAACTGTGTGTGTGTGTGTGTGTGTGTGTGTGTGTGTGTGTGTGTGTGTATAATTTTTTTTTTTTTTGAGCTAAAAACTCTAGTGGTAATGAAAAAAGTTTCAAAAAAGATGATATTCTTTTGCCATTTGGCTACTTTAAGTTAAGAGAAGGTGAAAAATTCACTGTTAAAACCATGAAGTTGGCCGGGCTCAGTGGCTCAGCATGTAATCCCGTGCTTTGGGAGGCTGAGGTGAGTGAATTGCCTGAGCCCGCAGGTTCGTGACCCACCTAGGCAACTTGGCAAGACCTCATCTCTACAATAAATAAAAAATTAGTCGGACGTGGTAGCACGCACCTATAGGTCCGGCTACTTGGAAGGCTGAGGCAGAAGGATCGCCAGAGCCTAGCAGGTCAAGGCTGCGGTGGCTGGGAGCATGCCACTGCACTCCAGTCTGGGTGACAGAGTGAGACTCCAACTCAAAAAAAAAAAAAAAACTGTGAAGTTTAATTTGTCTTGTGGAAAAGAAGTAGTAGACACTTAGTATAAATGCAGTGAAACTAGAAACCACTGAGACATTTACTTCATTCCTGCAGTTAACGTTTTTTTTTTTTTATTTGCATAACACTGTTTTATAAGTATAGAACTTTGTGATTAAGGTTTCCAATTGCATAGTCTGGTAACTGGAGACAGTGAGGTAAAAGGAAGAAGGGACTGACTCTCTGATAAAGGTCTCAGTGTCAATATTTATAATGATTATACAAGGGTGACCCTGAAATCAGGCTGACCCGGGTTCAAGGCAGCCCCACCAGTGGTACCTGTGTCTCAGCCATCCCTTCAGCTCAGAGTCTTCGTTTCCTCACTTATAGTAGGTGGATAAAATAGTATCTACTACAAGACGGTTAGGAAGACTAAGTGAGCTCATCCGTATAGAATCTTTCCTTAGTGCACGAAACATGTTCATTGCCCCACCAGTATTGGCTGCAGTCATGGTTCAGCTCAGCTCTGAGAACTTGGCCAAGTCCTATACATTCTCTGACTCTTAGCTTAACTATTTGTAAAATAAGAATAGTATTTACCCTACCTGTCTACTTACCCATGGTATTGTTGTGAAGATCGAATGAGAGCATGTCTTGAAAGGATTTTTAAAAATGAATAGTTGGCTGGGTATGGTGCCTCAGCCTATAATCACAGCACTTTGGGAGGCTGAGGCGAGAGGATTGCTTGAGCCTGGGGGTTCAAAACCAGCCTGGGCAACTTGGTGAGACCTCATCTCTACAATAAATCACAAAAATTAGCCAGGCGCAGTGGCTTGCGCCTGTAGTTCTAGCTACTTGGAAGGCTGAGGCGGAAGGGTCACCTAAGCTTAACAGGTCAAGGCTGTGGTGGCGGTGAGCATGCCACCGCACTCCAGCCTGGGCGATAAAGTGAGACTCCAACTCAAAAAATAAAATAAAGCACTTTGGGAGGCCAAGGTGAGAGAAATGGCTGAGCCCACGGGTTCGAGACCAGCCTGGGCAACTTGGTAAGACCTCATCTCTGCAGTAAGTCAAAAAATTAGCTGAGCGTGGTGGTGTGTGCCTACTACTTGGAAGGCTGAGGCAAAAGGATCACCTGAACCCAGCAGGTCTAGGCTGCGGTGGTCATGAGCGTGACACTGTCTCCAACCTAGGTGACAGAGTAAGACTCCAACAAAAAATTAATTAATTAATTAAAAATTAAAATGAATAGTTAACAAACCAATTGGAAAGCCAAGCCATCCGCAGCCTGACACAACTGGAAAATGTGACAAGACGACTGGGATCCAGTGTCAGCCTGTGAGGGCTGGACAGGTTCTGAGAAAGGCAGTGTGATGGGCATTCAGGAAATGAAAGCAGAAATGGCGTGGCGTGGGGGCTGACCTTACAGAATAGGGAAGCACTTGACCAGCCTTGAAGAGATGAAAGGCAGTGGCCATGAGAGGGAGCCTCCTCATGGCGATTCCTGGCTAACCTTCGCTGTGTCTCTTCTGTCATTCCAGGCTGAGCTCATTGGGAGCCTCACCCACAAGCTGGAGACCCTCCAGGAAGCGAAGGGGAGCCTGCTCGTGGACATCAAGCTCAACAACACCTTGGGAGAGGAGGTGGAGGCTGTGATCAGCGAGCTGTGCAAGCCCAACGAGTTTGACAAGTACAAAATGTTCATTGGGGACCTGGACAAGGTGGTGAACCTGCTGCTGTCCCTCTCGGGGCGCCTGGCCCGAGTAGAGAACGTCCTTGGCAGCCTGGGTGAAGACGCCAGCAGTGAGGAGCGGGTAGGTGGCCTGGGAGTCCATCAGCATGCTCACCCTCGGAGATCACATATACCGGGGGCGCCACCTGACACTCTCCCTTCCCAGAAGGCTCTGAGGCAGCCTCATTGGAGAGGAAGAGGATACAGTGGGTTAGGCAGCCAAGAAGCAGAGACGGCCTCATCCATGCCACAATGTAATGCTAACACGTAAGGCTCAGGAACACTTGGGAAACGAAAAACACATGCCAGAGTTGCTTTCTTCCCAACATTCCTCCCTCCTTTCTCTCCTGAAAAGGGTGGTACCAACATTAAAAAGAGAGGCCAGGTGTGGTGACTCACGTCTATACTCCCAGCACTTTGGGAGGCCAAGGTGAGAGGACTGGCTGAGCCCATGGGTTGGAAACCAGCCTAGGCAACTTGGCAAGACCTCATCTCTACAATAAAACAAAAAATTAACTGGGCATGGTGGTACATGCCTGTAGTTCCAGCTACTTGGAAGGCTGGGGCAAAAGGATCACCTAAGCCCAGCAGGTCGAGGCTGCAGTGGCCGTGAGCGTGCCACTGCCCTCCAGCCTGGGTGACAGAGTGAGACTCCAACTCAAAAAACAAAAAAGTGAGAAGGAGAACAGAACTTGAGGATAAAGCGGGTGGCAGGGACATGAACTCAGCTCTCCAGAGTGTCTCCTGTGTGGGCTGAAGGCTCAGGGAAGACATACCGGGGTTTCTCCACCACTCGGCTACTGCAAGGGAGTGCATACTGCTGATCATAACAGAGACAGTCACCAGCACTTTCTCTGTGTCAGGCACTGTGGGGTATGTACTTCACATGCAGTCTCATTGTGTCTTACCACAGACTAGTAAGTGAGGGAACCAGGAGAGGGGTCCAGCTGCAGACCCCATACTTCACTACACTGAACTGAACTCTGGCTACAGAACATTCTTTCTCTACTCATCTGTACAGCCTATACTTACTGGGTGTCTAGTGTGTGCCACTTAGTGTAGGCGTTTGGGATTCATTTGTGAGTAGATGGTTCACTGCCCTCGTGGCACTAACTTAGAAACAGTAGATGCTACTGTTATATACGAGGAGTGCCAAAAAATATATGCACACTTTAAGAGATGTTTGCCGTAATCAGAAGTGTCTGGACACTGACGGTAACCACTTTGAGTACCTCTTGTATTTGCTGAAGTCAAACGTGACTTGTATTCATCTTACTGAGTACTACAATTTTAATGCAGTTTTTTCCTTTTTTAAAATGTGTGTTCATTTTTTGGCACCCTCTGTATATAATTTATAAATATATGTTCACACACACACAGACATGCTAGTCACACACAGCATATAGATGTACACACTCAGTAGCAGTAAATGGCTCCATCAAAAGGGATAACATAGAAAGCTCAAAGTAGGTGTGGGAAGGACTAAGGAACCAAGAAAGGATCACAGAGACTCCCTCCTCCCCCTCCCCAGGGCTGCTTCGGCAGGGAAGCCATCACTGCCTCTTTGCAAGGAGCAAGGGGAAGGGAGTCTGTATCAGGACCTGTAGTTCTGCCCACCCACAGCATCAAGACCTCGGTAAAAGAATGCAGACGCCACCCCCAACTAGTAGCCCAGCACAAGAGCCAGGGATAAATGCCCTGGTTTCTTTCTCTTCCCACTTTTCAGTCTTCTCCCATCACTCGCCTTGGTCAGACCCAGTGGGTGAGGGAGCCCACGAGAGTTCAGCTTCCCTGGGCACTGAACAGGGCTGGGAAGAGGGGAAAGGGGAGAGAGTTTACCTGGAGGGTGAACACAGTGTCCAGCACGGAGAATCATCAGAGACCCTGCTGTTGTCAGATCTAGACTTCAGCCTTCGGTGTAGCGGTGGGGATGGGCCAGGAACCAACTTCCTGACATGCACAGCCTGGGGGGGTGCGGTGGTAAGCATGATGTGAGCATAACATTCGGGAGCTTGTAATGGTCTAGACAGGAAGGTCTTTGGCTGGTAACTTAGGCAGTTGTCATGGGGTGGGGAGTAGAGATTAGGGAATAAATTATGGAATGGATTTGTGTTAGCACAGCCATGTTAGATGAGGGGAGGGTTGAGCAGAAAGTAACTCCAGGTTTCCTGCTGGGCCGTGGGGTGGATGCTGCAGATAGCTAGGAGAAGTACCAGGGCAGTCTCCAGTTGGGGGAAGGTGTGTTTTTCCAGGATGGAATTAAACTCCGCACTTAAACGCACACACACACTCTGAAATACAAATAAATGTTGGCTCACCTGTAAAATACTACTAAAATGTTGATTTTTATTATGATTGATCTTTGTTAAGAAACTAAACGTGTAAATGGAAATGAGAGAAGAAAGAATAAGTGCCTCAATAAATGACAAATTCAAGGTCATTGTTGCCAGTGGGGAGGACTAGGCTGGGGAGGAGTATCCATAAATCTTGAGCAAATCACTCTTTTAATCTGAAGCAAATAGGAAAAGTGGTCCTAGTGAGATTCAGCACCATTAATGATGGGCACACAACACGGGGTGGCGGAAGTCTCTGTACATTTCAGATATTTAACAATTTTTTTAAAGGTGAGGAATAAGTCGTTTTTGTACTCATATTTCGAAGGTATTTTGAAAGGTGTCTTCATTCAAATTTACTCCCCCAGGATTTTGGGTTTCGGGTTTTTTGGTCTGGTTTTCTGAAGAGGGAAGGAAGCCTGTGAGGAGAAACTGGTAACTTAGCACTTTCCCCAGACACAATGATGTAAAGCCTACCAGGGTAGTTCAGGGGGGGTTAGGACCAAGACACAGGAGGCTGTGATAACCCTACATGAGCTCATTTGTATTGAGGTATATTTAATTATAGTGTAGTGATCTTATATCTTGATCGATTTCATTCTAATTTTTCTCAATCACTTTGGCCTGAAAAATCTGCATGGTTAAAGTATAATTTTTTTTTTTAATTTAAAAATGACATTTCTGTATGTCAGCATGTTGTATTAAAAAAATTAAAGTTTTTATAAAGTAAATTGCCAATAGATAACATATGTGGCCTTACCACTGGGTTTGTGTGATTAACTCTCAGATATGAAACTGCCATCATTGCTCTCATTTTGGCTTCAGAAACCTGAGAGAAACCAGAAAAAATGGAAACTTACTTTAGAGATGGGTATGTGGTGTTTCTATCATTATGGATTAGGAAGAGGCTCTCCAACCTTAGCCACAAAAGAATCAGCTGGAAGCCTTGTTAAAACACAGGCTTCCAGGCACTGCCTGCAGAATCTGATCCAGTAGGTAGATGAGGGCCTAAACACTCTCCTGACCCAGTAGGTGGTCAAGGGCCTGAATGCTTACTTGACCCAATAGGAAGACAAGGGTCTGAATGATCTCCTGACCCAGTAAGAGGACAAGGGCCTGGACATTTGCATCTCTAACAAGTTTCTGGGTGGTTCTACTGATACAGCAGCCATACCTTTTTTTTTTTGAGTCGGGGTCTTGCTCTGTTGCCCAGGCTGAGTGCTGTGGCATGATCACTGCTCACCACAGCCTCCCACTCCTGGGCTCAAACAATCCTTCAACCTCAACCTCCTGAGTGGCTTGGACCACAGACATGTGCCACCACACCTGACCTCAGCTGCCATACTCTAAGAACCTCCATATTAAACAAGGCATCTTGAGAATTGTCATTTTAAGTCTAGAGCCCTAAAGTCAAGTTGCTACCCAAGGCAATTTAATGTAACTCCTCTCAGAGTGAAGCTGTCAGGTGGCTCTACAAATAGAGAGCCACACACCCATGGGTGACACGCTCATTTCCAGAAAGCACAGCTTCTCACTTGGTGCGACAGGGAGGAGGGCCTAGTCATCTCACAGTCCTGCCAGAGGTGTCCTCCCAGGGAGTTTGGCTCTTTCCTCCCTTCCCCCCCGCCCCCCGCCTTTGCTGATCTGTCTTTCTTGCCCGGGCAGAGCTCTCTCAATGAGAAAAGGAAGGTCCTGGCTGGTCAGCATGAGGACGCCCGTGAGCTCAAGCAGAACCTGGACCGGAGGGAGCGCGTGGTGCTGGACATCCTGGCCAACTATCTGTCAGAGGAGCAGCTTCAGGACTACCAGCACTTCGTGAAGATGAAGTCCACGCTCCTCATCGAGCAGCGGAAGCTGGACGACAAGATCAAGCTGGGCCAGGAGCAGGTCAGGTGTCTGCTGGAGAGCCTGCCCTCAGGTTTCGTCCCCAAGGCTGGGGCCCTGGTTCTGCCGCCTGACCTCATGCGTGAAGCCGCTCCTGCCACAGGATGGACCCCCAAGGGCGCTCTTGCAACCCTCACTTCTCCACTTCCACCTCTCCTCTAATATCCAGCCAGACGTTCCCGCTTCTCAACACTATTTAATCTGGAAAGTGTTTCCATACAAACCGCTGCTTAAACTATGTGGGTTATTGGGGGTTTTCTGGATAAAAGGAAAAAACTCTACCCAGGAAGAAGCCTGCTTTTTCCGTCTTGCCCTTCATGATTGATCTTCCGAGAGCTTGAATGCTGCTGGACACTTAACCCCTTTCTGTTAGGCTCTGTAGTAAAAGAAAGTGAATGAATCTGTGAGAACTGATTGGGGGTGTCTGTTTGATCGTTTAGTTCTTAACAGATAGAGGCAACATAGAGGGTGCGTGCCACCCTCAGGAATGTATCCACAGTGGCCTTCCTTGCTGGTGGGCGGTATATCCCACGACAGGGTCTAGGTACCATTTATGAAGGGTCTGCAACATAAGGCCTTAAAAAGACACACTGAGAAGAAAATTATAAAACCTTGAACATTGTTATTTATATTTTTTAAATGAAAAAGATCATTATGTTTGTGTGCTAACCACTTATGTGATTCTGTTTTGTGGTGGACGTAGACAGTTGTGTTTGAGCTTTGTATTTTGTGAAAACCTTAAATGAATTCCAAAGATAGTCACTGAGCGTGGAGACATGTTTTCTTCTTACACTTTGTGTGTCTTATTTTCACAACCACAAGTAGACATTCTACACTGGCTTTAGATGGTGCAGATCACAGCTCCCACTGCCAACAGTCCTGAGCGCCCCTCTACATCGAGGGGAACACACACACCTTCCCCTAGAGGGAGGCCACACGCACCATGGCTGTCACATCCTTTCCAGGTGATTCATACCGTTAGCCACTGAGGTGGGAAGATGACACTGAACTTACTAACAAGGACTACAACTCTCAAACCTGTGTACCAAGGGGAGGAAGTCCAGAATCCATGCCAACTCAAAACTGAGTCCATGCTGCCCTCCCATGAAGGATTTGGGTTAATATAGCCTATTTAGTGAGCTACATAATCAGGCTGTTTTAATGAGGCCTTACAAATGTTTTGTTTTCCTGAAATGTTGAACCTGTCAACCCCATTTTGATTAAAAATTCCCTCCTTCAGCCGAAGACTGAGTTTGCACTATCGTGTTTCAGGATAGCCTCTCCAAGGGTACTCTGTAGCCTGGCCATGAGTCTGGAAGCACACACAGGAAGGGTAAGGTGTCCTGGGCTGTTGGCCAGCCTGTCTCTAGCCACTGGGGATGGCAGTCACCTAATGCATCCCAGGCTGTGCTCAGGTTGGTGGGTTGGCTTCTCACAGGGCTCACCTGTGGCTAGTGGCCACCTTTGTTGATTTGGACTTATGAGTCAGTCATAGAAAATCAGGAAAGTAATATTTGTAAGTTAAAAAAAAACAAACCAAATGCTTCGGGGTGTGTGTGTGTGTGTGTGTGTGTGTGTGTGTGTGTGTGTTGCTCTGGGCTCACTGCAGCCTTGAACTCCTAGGCTCAAGAAGTCTTCCTACTTCAACCTCCTGAGTAACTGGTCTACAGGTGTGCTACCACACCCTGCTATTTTGCTTATTTTTTGTAGACACGGTCTCACTATGGTGCCCAGGCTGGTCTCAAATTCTTGGACTACAGTAGTCCTCCCACTTCAGTGCTGGGATTACACCAAGCCACTGCACCTAGCCGAGTGCTTTTTTATTTTCTTTTTTTGAGTTGGATTCTCACTCGGTTGTCCAGACTGGAGTGCAGTGGCACGCTCATGGCCACCGCAGTGTTGACCTGCTGGGCTCCAGTGATCCTTCCTCCTCGGCCTTCCAAGCAGCCAGAACTACAGGCATGCACTACCACACCCAGCTAATTTTTGACTTCTTGTAGAGACGAGGTCTCAATCACTTTTCTAACCTATACACATAAAAGAGACCATCCACAGCCATGATGCAACTTGGCTTGCCACCAGCATCTGAACACTTGTGACCCCCTAGGACTGAATCTGTTCTGTTACACTGCTGTTATGTGCAATGAGTGAAACCCCAAGTGGGACTTGGAGATCTAGTTCCTAGATGGGTGTAATACCTATTGCAATAGGACTTGACCTTTGAAGAAGTTTCTTTATTGTCAAGGCGGGTACAATTCAGGATTAGGTAAGCAAGTGGTCATCTTACAGGTAAAGTTTGGGCCTCCCATTGGTCCTCATTTCACCTGGTTTGGGATCAGATACCCTTATTAGTGTTATGTGCCCCCTCCCCGCCCCAACTCCCTGTCAGCGACCCATTACTGCCGAGCCCTTTCATGTAGTATTATGATAAATGCTCAGGGTCCACTTATGAGTGAGAACATGGGACTAGCCAAGTTTTCAAAGTTTACTTTTAAATGTCTTTAGCTGGAAAAGAAACCTATGTATTTGACCCTTTCCCATTTTGCATTCTTCTCCCACTATTCAGTCATTTACAGTAGAAACCACCTTCTTCCAACAATATCCTCTGCCAGGACGGTGAAAAAGCAATGAGCGTGTAGTTGATCGGGGTTTTAGGGCACATGTGATATCGCTGAGAATGATTGTTCATAGGTTGACAGTCAGTGCCCTTCCTGTCATATCAGGAGAGAGTCTGGCAATGCTCCAAATGTGAGACTCCAGAAACCATGGTGTTCTAGTATGGGACAATGCCCCGCAACAGAATCCGGAGGCCCTGCTTCCTGGGCTACTTACGAGGCTCACAGGCATGTTGGCTACGTGCAGCTGACTCAGCCTCTTCCTGTGCTGTTTGTTTCTTGTGGCGGCTCAAAGAATGCAGGGAGGAATCATGGCAAAAGTGTCTGGGTTTCTCTGAGAGATACCCTCGAAACCAAACATTTTCTGCTTTGCTACAGGGCAATGTTTTAGGTTTTCTTTTGCACAGCTGGTGCTCAGACCTGAAGATGAGCTAATTCGGGTCCACCCTGAAGAACGGTGACTGTGTGGCCGGGCTCAGTGGCTCAACCAGTAATCCCAGCACATTGGGAGGCCTAGGTGAATGGATTCCCTGAGCCCGCGGGTTTGAGACCAGCCTGGGCAGCTTGGCAAGCCCTCCTCTCTATAATAAATCAAAAATTAGCCAAGCATGGTAGCACGCACCTGTAGTTCCAGCTACTTGGAAGGCTGAGGCAGAAGGATCACCAGAGCCCAGCAGATTGACGCTGGGGTGGCCGTTAAGCATGCCACTGCACTCCCAGCCTGGGCGACTGAGTGAGACTACAACTCAAAAAAAAAAAAACAGGCTGTCTTTCTAGTTCCTGTGAGGAGGTATAAAGGAGAGGCAGCCTGAGACAGCCTGTTGCCCAGTCACCCACTGTTAACATCTGATTTCAAATCACTTAGTAATTTAAAAGACAGACATAGGCTTTGAGTTCTATCTTTAAACCTGTGTGTTATCCAAGCATCTTTTATTAAGCTATTGAGTTTTTTCTGGTACTTAGGAAATTTTGACTTTTCATTCTTACATGGCTCCAAATTTATTTCTCTTTAGTGTAATTGTCCATGATATTGCTGGCTTTATGCTGCTAACTTGGAATTACTATTTTCATTTTAGAACACTGTGAGTTTTATTCACCTTACTTGGAAGAATAAATAGAATAAAAGAAGTACTTCAGCCAGAAATAACTTCTTCATTTCTAGCAGGGTATGGGTGAATGTGAGGGGATCATCCTACACAGAAATAGATTATTGGAAACAAAATACGTATTACTACCTTAACTCTTTGGGACAAAGCATAGGATAACTGGTAAAGGCCATTTTAATATCAGTAAAGGGACACATACACAGTTTTGTTATTCTTCTAAATAAAACCTAACTTTTTGTAATGGGAGTGCATTCAGACACTAAATTATGGTTTCTTAAAATATGGTCAAGATACCATCTGTGTCAGAATCCTTGGAATGCTTGTTACAAATACCAGTGGCTATGACACAAACAAGTCGGTTGGGAATCCATTTTAACAAGCTCCTGCAGGTTATTCTGATGCACTTTGACATTCAAGAGCCACTGATGCAATCATCAGTTCAGTTTCTATTGTTACAATCATCATAATGGTATGATTTTATGTGATAATAGCCCCAGAATAATTTCTAAACAATTGAAAAATTTAAATTAAAGCCATAAAAATAATCTCACAAGTTCAAAGCCCTTATCATAGTACTCTATTAACTACATTATCAGAAGTTTATATTGTCCAACTATTTTTCTATAACCCTCTCAAGGTTGTGATATAGATTTTTGTTTTCCCCTTTCAGTCTTCCTTAGAGCTGTTTTAAATTTAAACAAGCTAAGCACATATCGGGTTCAACTGCACTAACCATTTTTTTCTCCAAAGGAACTGGTTTATCACACATTGTCTGCCCTGAAATTAATTACAACTCACCTTTCCAGTGGATATTTCTGTTGCTACATAAGAGTTAGAGCTTTTCCTGGCTTGGATTTGACAGTCTGACTTGTGAAACAAGAGTGTGCTAATTTCCTTTGAGAAGTAAAAGGAGTCATCACCCAATCTGAAAACCATAAAATCAAAACTAGGCAAGGAAATGTGAATGAGGAAACTGGCTTATTTCTTCCTACTTCATTGTATGCATGCCCCTCCAGTCGTCTCCAAGGAGAAAGGCAACTGCGTGTCTTGCTAAAACATCAGTGTTGCTATTGCTTTGCACAGTAGGTTTCACAGAGGAAATATAAATTACTAAATTCTGAAAAAGCAAGTGACTACAGGATGTAAGGAAATCCAGTATGGTACCCTAGAACTAAGGGAGAGAACTCAAGGTGAGAGACTGGGAGACCCCAGTACTGGGGTTTGGACCCCCCCCACACACATACACACTCCCACCCCCAAGAACTGAACTGACACACTCACAGTAAGTTATGTTTATGTTTTCTGTAAGTGTGCTCCACACATCGCTATCATTCAGGTGCCTAATCACTGGGTTTCTATTGAGGCCTGACAGCTTGTGTACTGCCATCCCTGTCTGCCAAGCTCTGCTTCTGTAGACCTTTGTGTGTCTCCATGTATGTTTTTATCTTTCTCAGTATCTGCAATTGTCATCTTCCTGCTCTTTCTTTCCCCAGATGATTCCAGTTATGTATATATATCGGGACTTGCAAAGCATAAAGTAGGAGTAAAAAACTAGGAGGGAAAGCCTGCAGTTAAAGTCCAGAATATGTTTTGTTTTTTTTTTGAGTTGGAGTCTCACTCTGTCGCCCAGACTGGAGTGCAGTGGCCGCTCCCGGCCACCGCAGCCTCGACCTGCTGGGCTCCAGCGATCCTTCCGCCTCAGCCTTCCGAGTAGCCGG